AATTAAATATTTATTCTAGTACTGGTCTCTCGAAGATATTAAAAATTCAAGCACAAATGATATTTAAAATGGTGCTGACTTTAGAGATTAAAATTTCTTCAAAAGATGTAAAGGTATAATGTTCTGACCTGTGGAACTGTGATATGTAGGTGTGCCATTGAAGATTAAATGAGGAAAATTGAGATAAGAAGTTAAACCACAGAATTTCTTACAGCACACTTGAAGTTCATGATAACTTCATAAGTTACTTAAAGTACACATCTCAAATATAATTATGTATTCATACTAAGCATAAATAGATTATGCTCTGCAACTAACAGTTTAATTTTGTTACTAGGAACATATGCAATCATATTAATTAATTATAATTAAATTTATTTATGAAAGATCCTTTAATTGCATTAATTCTCGAATATGGAATTTAAGTGTAATTGACCAAAATTCACGAAATATTTTTACTTATGTTGATTTGTGTAATAATTAAAAATAAGGAAATAAAGAGAAATTAATTATTGCAGATCTATACATCTATCTTGTTGCCTAAATATCTAGATATTTTATATCACGGACAGTAGTGGAGTCTTGGATATAATTTATATGAAGAGAAATAACAATATAAAAAGTTAGAATTGGAAAAATGATCTCTTCCATGTTCAGGTTTACTTAAGCTAATAATTACTGAATATCATTATCAAAAGTTGGCGGATTAAAGGCTTATATGGGATGGTTTTGTGACCTAAGTTATTTTCCTACTGACTAAAGTTTACACTATATAAATTATTATTTAAGGGCCAATCTATTTGGTAGCTTTAAATACAGAAGCTACAAATTGGAGACTTTCACTAGCTCTCATTGGATCTGACCAGCATTGGATCACAAGATGTGTGATTGAGATTTGTTTTATTTTATTTTTATTATTTTGCCAGGATACACTTGTTAAGTAGATGAATAAAATTTTCTAGTTTCAGTGTGCTTAAATTGAAGATTTTGGAATCAAAATATGATTTTTAAAGTTAATAAAATTTAAGAAGAAAAAGCCATATGATATAAGAATCAACAAGTCAGAGATCTGATGCCAAATATGCAATGACTATTGGACAAAAGGTGTTTCAAAAAATTTATCATTTCTTTGCTCTTGATGTGTATATACAATACATATACATATATATACACACGTACACATAATATATACACACGTACACATAATATATATTCCCCTACACTTTCCAGTTTAACTGTTTAACTGTGAGGAGACTTTTAATATAAGAAATTTCAATCTATACCATTATGTAAATATTTGAGATATCCATTAAAACTTTTTATGAGACTCAAAAGATTATGAATAAATATATAACATATAGTATATTATAATTTAAAATGTGAATTTCATTTGAAATCAATAACAATTTTATTTGTAAAGCATTTATTATAATTTATAACCTATAGATTGCCAGGAATATTATTCTCAACTGTAAAATATTAACATAAAGTTTTGACATTTATATATTCATATATTCATATATATGTATGTGTGATGTGTTTATTCTTTAGTAGAAGTAAAGAAAACCTCTGAAAAATCAAATTTAATAAATAATAAAGTAAATCATCATTCACATTAATTAAATTTTAAAGTGATCACAATATATTGAGCCATGTAAATAAAAAAGTTTCTGCAAATTTTACTTAATAATTTTTAGTTCAATATTACCTTCTAGTATCAGAAAGATATGTAGGACAATTTCAATTTAACTAATAATTTTATTCTTAAACCAACTACTTGATCTGAGGGAGACAAGCTTTACAAAGTATGAAAAGAAAGACTTTAAAATGTCTACCATTTATTTAAATGCTATTAGTAAGCCTTCTTTATGAAGGTAAAGTTAAAGGCATTGATTTAACATTGGGATTCACGTGATCACCATCACATTCATACTTGCATGTGTCTTTGATTTCTACCAAAACTGAAGCATACAATGTCCTGGAAAAGCTAATTACATTGAGTGATGGAACATTTGTCATTTGTTTAAAACCCCAAACCTAATTTATTTCCTTGTGATTTCCATAGCTTTTTCTGGTCTTCGTTGTACCACACATTCCAAAAGGAAGATTACATGATATTCTGGTATTTCATGAGAAAAGTGAAATTTGACTAGTTTTGAAAGGGAAATAAATTGTTATGCACTCTTTTTAAAAAGAAGCATTTTTAACATTTAGTTATGTTACATATATTTAAGGAAGGAAAAAATATCTCTAAGTGAATATTTCTTGAGGATAATTTGTATGTGACTGCTGAGATTTACAGAGTTCTCACATTTGCTTCCCCCACAAGGATTCTAAATCAGATTGGTTCAGAGGAAAAGCCAGCATACCCCATTTTTCTAATATTATCACTTCTCCAGATGGTCCTAAAACATCTATTCAATTCCTTTTTCCTAGAAAGTAAAGAGGTACCTTATTAGGTATGTAGGTGCACCCACTACAAAGGCTGCCTCCTTGTTCTTCTTTGTCTTTCCTATTTAACATATTAAATATTTTTCATCTCCTACCAGGCAAGATGACAAGTAGAAAGTAAGCACAGTGATTGCCTGAAACTTTGTCTTGGCAACCTGAGCAAAGAGAGAGTTAATGGTGGATCTTTGAAAACAAGTGACCATGGGAAATTAGGGTTGGCAGGGATTTAACTCTTCATGAATCATGCTGGAATATTTTTAAGAGCAATGCAGTGGATGTTTTAACTGTGTTTGACATCTAATTAAGGAGGAAAAAGAAGCAGCTAAAAAAATGTCTATTTTAGTTTAGAAACAAAGTATTGACAATTGGCTACCAGGCTTTGGCAAAACAAGTGTACAAGGAGAGACAAAAAGGTAATGACAGACCAATAAAATGACAGAAGAAAAATTGCTTAGGCCATTCCCTTTTTTCCCCCTTCTTGTTCATTTCACGGTTTATTTTATCAAATTGCTAAGCTCTAGGTATAGCAATAGAATTGTTATATAACTTTAAGGAAGTTTTCAATTTAAAAAAACCAAAATAATTCTAATGGATGCCATTACTAAAAAGAGCTTATAAGATAATGTCAAATATATACAGTTTAAAGTATGTGTATATAATAAAGGGCTATTCTAATTAAATGCAATATTTTTAATAATAGGAAGTACTGGTGCCTTCTCTATAATCCAATGCCAGGGAAATAAAATTTTTGCAGAATAAATAAGCAGAATTCTCAATTCTTATTTATTTTACACTTTATTAGCACTTAGAGAAGCATATGCAAATCTAATAATTTTTAATATGTATTTCATGTTTAAACTTGTTATTTTAAAATTATAGCCTAGCCATTCACATCTTCAAGAAGTGAAGTTGTATGTAAAACTTACTTAAAAGGCATTCAAACTTGCATAAAATTGACCATCAACCTAAGAATTATTTGGTGACATCTTCTCAAAGTGAAAATAGAAAGCAAAAACTGATGAAAATACACATGCCATAATATCATGTACTGTGGAAATAATTTAAAGATAGTTACTAGAGATATAATAGATATATAACTAAGTATTTAATGATTTCTATAAGTTTTAATATCTTGAATGAGTACAATTAAAATTATGTTTGCTTATGTTTAAAATTCATTCCCATATTAATAATCAAGAAAATTTTATACCAAAAATAAATATGTTTTCCAGTTCAACGTATTTTATCCAACAAATATTAAATCCAAATAAACACATTTAATAGGTGTTTAATTTTCTAATCTAAAGTGTGAAAATTACATGTCTTTCCTATTTATGGTCCTCATTCACACTAGAGCATTTAGAAAAGGATCTTTCCCATCATGTGAAAATTAAAAAATATGTTTTTTGGCAGAAGAGAAACATACAGTAGACAGACATCTCTATAGGTAGATTCAATAAATCTTTCACATTATAAGTTAAAAACAGAATATAACTTAAAGACTTCACTGCCCTACTTCCAATTCTAGAAATCTGACAATTATGAGAAAGCAATACCTTAGGGAGTAAAACTACTTGAGTTTAAACAGTTTAATCTTCAACTCCACTTTAATAATACCTCAGTTATATAAATATTCTCTTCCATTAAAAATTATATTATTTTGGAATCTATGTTAGCATTATTTTATACTTCTATCTATAAAATCTAACTAAACAAATATAGAACAACTATTATCTTTAGAATCCTCATAAAAAAATAAGCATACACATTAAACTATAATCAAGTAAAGTACTAGCAACCAGGTGATAAAGTTCTTTTTCTTTCTTAAACGTATACTTTAAGAAAAAGAAGTTCACAGAACAAGTTCTACAACAAGGAAGTAATGTGTCTTCATTTTTCACTGAAGTACATATGGAATTAAATAACATTATATTTCAAAGGCTTTAGCTTTACACCAATTAGCCAAGTACACAGTCTTTTGTACAATCATAACACACTGTGGAAAAAACTAGTCTGTTCTCTCCAGTTTATATTCTCTTGGCAAACCATGACCTACTGCTTATGTTAAGCATCTGATTGTCAGATCTGAACAAACTGAATATTCATGATGATGATTAACCATTTAGTGTCTAAAACTAAGAAAATAAAATTTATCAAAAACGATTAGTATAGGTGAGGCATGCACATCTACAAAGGGACCATTTTTGCAATAGTAGTTTTAAAAATATTTTAATAGAAGTAGAATCAGAAAAAAAATAACAGAACATATGAACACATGTACAGATCAGCTTTTACCGGGCATTTAGCTCCTCTCTGCAAATGTGATTAAATGTTCTTTGTTTGCGTTTAAGTTATCATATCAAACGGAAGACATGCTTTTATTTAAAAAAGTGTTTAAATTATCCCAGAAAGAAACACACAATCATATAGGTTTCTGGGGTTAAACTAAAGGTTTTATGATTTGGGTTGGGAGGGAGTTCAAGGAATGAAAGGGGGTGGGGAGCATTACAAATCTAGCCAAATAAAAGAAAAAAAAAATAAAGATTTACCTTTGTAGGATAATTTCAGCCTTGGCACATTGTTCTTCCCATTTTGGTAGTTTGCTCTTGCTGTAAGTAACACTCCCCAGAAAAGACAGACAATCCTACAGAACCAGCCCATGCTGCAGACGCTGTAGGTCCCTATACTGCTTCAGGCTTCCGTCTGTATTGTGCGGCCAGAGAAGTTCAAACAATCTGAAAACTGGAGGTAACAGGTGACTTAGGTCAGTTTCATTCATAAAGGCAGACAATCAAGACTTCGCCGCAACACTAACACCTCTTCTTCTCTAACAGTCACTGAAGCACAGAAACTTCAAAACCTC